TTGACTCAGAAAGGAGGCGGCACGGGAGGGATAACAAAGCTGCACCCCAGCTCAGGAAAGACGAGAGACCGCTGTTACAGACCATGTGCGCTGAAACCCACCCGCCGCTCACATCCAAAGAAAATGACAGCGAGTGCTTTCAGTGCTTGGCTCTTAAAAGACCAACATTTTGGAAGTGAACGTGAGCATTCTGTCTCGGACAGGGAGACGCAGATACACCCCCAGGCCCCCCATAAAGGACGGCCCTGCTGTGGAAGCCCCGCGGGTCTGTCACAGGTAACAATGTGCCCAGGTGGTGGGCTTTTAGATCGGCTTGAAGCCCCTTGGTGATCTGTAAACAAACTTAACCGCAGAAACCAAAACACGGGGCAGAAACCATAACCCAGAGTCCACGCACGTGGTAACCACGTCAGGACACGTGGGACAAGCACGAACTCACAGCGTCACGGTGGGACCAGCATCATGAACGACCTAGTACCCACGTGCTAGACCTGTGCATACTTCGCAAGTTACTCCCAATAACTCCCAGACACCCCTTCGTACAGGGGGTTGGCGATTTAGACATCTCATAAAGACGGTAACTTAGAATCAATGACTGGGTCCTCAGGCTCCCTCAGAAGAGCCCACGTAATCAATGAAGCGGCTGAAATAATAGTTTCACGTGCAATGAAAGTGAAGGACGGGGGGATTCCCAGGACGGGGGGTATGTCCAGGGGGAGGCGGGGACACACTGGCAGGTGTGGACAGATGATGTGATCAGGCCAACTCCTTCCAACACCTGCTTCTCGCCCTGGTCACCGGGGAAACGCAGGCCCACGGAGGCCCTCACACCTCAACCGCCAGGACCAGGCGGCCCGTCTGCTCAGTGCCCCCAGCACAGACTGTCTAATTAGGGGTACATCTCGCTAGTCTTCCATCCTTCCCTGTTCCCGTGAGGCTCATCTCTCTTTCCACCCCACTCCCCCGCCCCCAACCCCCCAGGCAGACGCAGTAGCTCTCGGACCCATGGGAGCCGTGGGGCTGGGAAGGAGCCCAGCCCAGCCATGCCTCAGGCTCTGACAGTGTGAGGCCGAGCAGGGCCGCATGGGAATAATCGCATCGTGACTAGCCACGTGGTATTTGTAAACCTGGGGTCACGTGGCTCACATTTTGCAAGAAATTCGTCTACCCCGTAACTCCCACTTCATAAATTCTCTCCGAAGCCTTTCTGCTTCCCCTCCGGGGCTATTTCTAAAGTAAAAGATATTTAAGGGGGGAGGAATGCTGCCAGTTTATCTGTGAGATGTTAATGGCAAGTTAAGGCAGAACTCATGCCACTGCAACAGCCGTCAGCGCAGCCGGTAAAAATGAGCACGACCGACTCGGCACTCGTCTGTTATGGATAAACTCTCAAACCCTCCGCGGGGTTTCTCAGGCCCCAAGTTCCCTGGGGCCGCGCCCCCTACCCCCCCACTTCCCCGCTCATGAGCGAACGCAGCGGGCGCTTCCTGGGCTCCCTCCTCGCTGTGGATCCCAGCGAACGCGCTCCCAGGTGCTGTCCACCGTCATGGACATCTGGGTTCTTCCTTAGCAAACTGCTACACTGCTTAAAAGCTACCCCCCCACAACACACCTCTTTTTTTAAATCGAGATTAAACATGGCTGTGCTTGACCAGGGTTACGAAGCTTTGTAAATATTTATCCTCTCCCCTCTTACACAATAAAACTTGCCAAACAAATCAGATTCGTTTTCCAAAATATCTCCAAAAGCAGACAGCAGCTCTGCCCAAACCAGCCACTTCGTTTCACAAGATGGTAATTAGGGACAAGCCCCTCCTGCGGCTGTGTGGTGTGAATGAGATTTTGCACTTGTTTTTATTTTTCTGAGCATCACGGGAGGTGACTCAGTCTGTCCAGGAATTCCATCTGACAGTGCGAATGCCTTGGTGGCGTCTTCACAAAGCGGGTGCCTCCGGCATTCCCCGCATTCCCGGCAGCCCAGAGGGGAGTAACCGGTGCCCAGAGGACCAGATTAGAGAGAGATTCCAGGCAGCACAGAGCATTTCATTTTGGGGAGGGAACCTCAAACTCCCCAAAATAACCTCCCCATACGAAATGTAAATGGAAGGAGTGAGGGGATTTATATAATCCCACTTCACCAAGAGCAGGCCTGGGAGCTGAAACCGATAAGCCTCCCTGGAAGTCACACTACGGCAAATGTGAGCGTAAAAAGATAGGGCTGCTTCTTCTTTTATTAGTAACTATAATTTTTTTAAAATTATTTTTACTTTTTCATCGATTTCAGAGAGGAAAGGAGAGGGAGAGAGAGAAACATCAGTAATGAGAGAGAATCATGGATCAGCTGCCTCCTGCATGCCCCCTACTGGGGATCGAGCCTGCAACCCGGGCCTGTGCCCTGATTGGGAATCGAACCGTGACCTCCTGGCTCACAGGTACTCCGGGAGGGCCTGCATCAGCAACACAGTCCAGTGGGAACGGCAACCAGGAAAGCTGGGTGTGAATTCCGTGACCCCTACCTCCCCAGGTCTCTGTCCCCCTGAGAGAGCCGTGGAGGCAGCTGAGAACAGGCCTCCACTCCCGCCAGCTCGGCAGAGGCTGTGGGGCCAACGACCCCGAGTCCGTCCTGGGTGAACGCAAAGCAGAGTCTCAAAGGGCCAACACCACCAGCGAGACCTCGGGTGGAGGCCACGCAAGGAGGGAGACGGCGGCCACCACGTCCTGCCACCACGTCCCGCCATGTGGGCACAGACGAACACCAGAGGGTGCATGGAGGCGAAAGCTGATGCCCAAGGCTGTTCTGAGGGCCCCCTTCCCAACGATTTGGACCCAGAATTCAGCATCTAGACCAGGGGCGGGGAACGTCGGCCCTTGAAATCATGTGGTCTGGCCCTGCCAAGGCATGTGGGGTGAGTTCATCAAATGTTCGACCCAATGGAGCAGCTAATGTTTAAGCTGGTCATTCTGTGTGGCCCGAGAATGAAGTTATAAATATCCAAATGGCCTTGGCAGAAGAGAGGTTCCCCACCCCTGATTCAGAGGACAAAGCCAGGAGGCAGAGAAACACTTCACTTACACGCATGAATGTTTCCCACCGCGGCCCACACACCAGTCCGAGCGGCCCTCCATCCCCAGCACCACGAGACTGAGTGTCTCCTGGGTCCCCCGGCCCTTTCTCTTTGTGCCTGGACGACCCCCTTCCCACGGAATCGGACCACAGCGCTGACCTGCTCAGCGGGGGCCGCGGTGTTCCTTTCGGACGTCTCTCTACTCGTTTAAAAATAAGGGCGCTGGGCCGGCATTTCCACCTGAGCACCTGCCACGGGCACCACTCACCCAGCATCCCCACACTTCGGCACGGCGCACGCTGAGCTTTCCCTGCTCTGGCCCCGGCACCCAGCTCCCTCCCGTCCCTGGAGTGCGTCCCCAAGCCGTGGCACCCCGCTGGGAACCGTGCCTGAGGGTTCTGTGACCTGTCACGGGGCCAGGGACCCATGGCTGCGCCCACAGAGGGAGGCGAGTGGCCACTGTCCGCGAGCAGCGTTTCCGCGACAGTACTCCGTGTGAAGCACGCACCCCCCTCCCGCCCAGCACCCCTTCATCAGGCGCCCACCGCGGGGAGATGAGCATTTTGAACCCCTCAGCCATGGGACACTGAGCCGCTGACCTCATCAGTAGGTCCTGCATCGGAATCTGTTTTGTGAAAATAAAGATCCGAGGCAGCCTCGAAGGACGAAAGAAAATGGGGACCGATAATGGGCCAGCTGTCCCCCTTCTGTCAGCACGGGACCAGGCACGGTGTTCCCACAGCGTCTGCGAAGTCCGAGCGGCAGCGGACGAGGACTGGCCCTCACCCTGGCACTCCCACGCCGGGCAGGACGGACGCGTCCCTCTGGTCCGGATAATCTGAACTGTAAGCAGCAGCGGCTCCCGGACGCACACGGAAATCCATTCGTTGCAGCAGGCGGCGGGGTTAATGAAGGTGGTAATTGCGCCCACTGGGTGGTGTGATTGCTTGTGTGGACGGGAGGAGAGACT